GAGAAAATGGAAAAATATTCCCTGTTCATGGATCGGGAGAATTAACATTGTCAAAATGGCAATACTTCCCAAAGCACTGTATAAATTCAACGCAATTCCTATTAGGATACCCATGACATTCTTCAAAGAATTGGAGCAAACACTCCTGAAATTTATATGGAACAATAAGCCCCCACGAAGAGCTAAAGCAATTCTTGGGAAAAAGAAAATGGGAGGAATCAACCTCCCTAACTTCAAACTCTACTACAAGGCAGTAATAATTAAAACAGCATGGTACTGGAACAAAGGCAGAGCTGTAGACCAATGGAACGGGGTTGAATATACTGACGTCCCCCCCCCCAAGCATACGAACATCTAATCTTCTATAAGGGGGCAAGAAAAGTGAAGTGAAGCAGGGAAAGCCTCTTTAACAAATTATGCTGGCAAAACTGGATGGCTACATGCAAAAAAAATGGACTCAGATCTCTGCCTAACTCCATGTACAAAAGTAAGATCTAACTGGATTAAAGACCTCAACATCAGACCGGAATCTATAAGATACATTGAGGAAAATGTTGGCAAAACCCTTCATGACATAGAAGCTAATAGTGTCTTCAAAGATGTCACACCGCTGGCCAAGCAAGTGAAAACAGAGATAGACAAATGGGACTATCTTAAACTAAGAAGCTTCTGCACCTCAAAAGAAACAGTGACCAAAATACAATCTACAGAATGGGAAAGGATATTCGCCAACTACACATCTGATAAGGGGTTAATTTCAAGGATATACAAAATACTGGTTCAACTCCACAAAAAGAAAACATTCAACCCCATCAAAAAATGGGGAGATGAAATGAATAGAAACTTTGACAAAGAGGAAATCCAAATGGCTAAAAGACACATGAGAAAATGTTCCACATCATTAATCATCAGGGAGATGCAGATCAAAACCACAATGAGGTATCACCTCACACCACAGAGACTGGCCCATATCCACAAGAACAAAAGCAACCGGTGCTGGTGCGGACTGTTGGTGGAAATGCTGACTGGTTCAGCCCTTTTGGAAAACAGTATGGATGATTCTCAAAAAATTAGAAATTGAGCTCCCATTTGACCCAGCAATACCACTCCTGGGAATATATCCCAGAGAGGCAAAAAAGTATAGCCGAAGTGACATCTGCAATTGTCTGCTTATTGCAGCACTCTTTACAATAGCCAGAATCTGGAAAAAACCTGAGTGCCAGAGAACAGATGATTGGTTAAAGAAACTTTGGTACATTTACACAATGGAGTACTGTGAAGCTGTTAGAAAAGACAAAGTCATGAAATTTACATACAAGTGGTACTACATGGTAAGTATCATGTTAAGCGAAATGACTCAGAAAGAAAGGGATAGACATAGGAAGTTTGCATTCATCTGGGGAACGTAAAGTAACAAAATAGGAAACTAACACCCAAGTATGGCAGAGATTAGTACCAGGAATTTTATTCAATGACCCAGAGGACAACCACACATGTTAGGGGAAAAGGGAGCTCAGAAAGAGTAGGGAACACCAAATAAAGGGTGTTGGGAGGATCCGCCCATTGATGTGAGAGCATGCTGAAAGTAGACTATCGACCAAACATGATTGCCACTCAATGCTTCTTTTGCAAACCACAGCACTCAAAAGGAAAGAGAGGGAAATGCCCTGCCACAGAGGCAGGGTGGGATGAGGCCGGGGAGTGGAAGGGATACTGGGATCCGCGGTGGTGGGAAATGCACACTGGTGGAGGGATGGGTGTTTGATCATTGTATAATTGAAACCCAAGCACAAAAATGTGTAAGTCTGCAACTGTACCTCATGATGTCTCACTATTAAAAAAAATTAATTAATAATAAAAATTTCTATCAGAATGTTTATCACTTCTTGGACTTTTGGCGTAGATCAAGTGTAGAATGTTTTAGCCAGTACATTCTAATCAACTCATGTTAATTAAAAAAAAATCATTATCTACCCAAAAGTCAGGATAATTTAAGCAGATTTTGTGTTTCTGTAAGTGATGAAAGATTAACATCTCGAGTTTCATAACACCAAATGATAAAAGGCACAGGAAGCATTTTGGGAAGGAAAACAACTATATAATAAAAACTGGGAAAAAATGAGCATTGGCCATGCTGTGATAAGTGTGTTACTTCAATATACAACTTTACTTATCTTTCAAAATCAATAAAATAGGTATTATACCCTTTTTACTAATATTAGAACTAAACCTTACAAAATTTGATTTACTATCCTGAAATCTGGGGCTGGAGCAATAGCACAGTGGTAGGGCGTTTGCCTTGCATACAGCTGGCCCTGCTGAGCTGAGTTCGATTCCTTCGACCTTCTTAGAGAGACCGGCAAGCTACCGAGAGTATCTCGCCTGCACGGCAAAGCCTGGCAAGATACTCATGGCATATTTGACATGCCAAACACAGTAACAAGTCTCTCGATGGAGACGTTACTGGGCCTGCTTGAGCAAATAGATGAACAACGGGAGGACAGTGCTACAGTGCTAAATCCTGAAATCTATTTAGGGGTTGAGTTGGGGGCCAGATCCTATTTTAGTCAATTTTAAAGCCTTTGCTATGCTACAGCTTATGTCTGCATCCCAAGGATCACCAAGTGTAACCCATTGAATAAGTATGTAGCACTGTAGCACTGTCCTCCCAGTGTTCATCAATTTGCTTGAGCGGGCACCAGTAATGCCTCCATTGTGAGACTTGTTATTACTGGTTTTGGCATTTCAAATATGCCACAGGGAGCTTGCCAGGCCCTGCTGTGTGGGCGGGATACTCTCAGTAGCTTGCAGGGCTCTCTGAGAGGGATGGAGGAACTGAACCCAGGTCAGTTGCGTGCAAGGCAAACACCCTACTTGCAGTATAAAAATTATAACTGATTCACAGAAACAAAACTTCTTTAGCTTTTTATTTATTTTTTATTAAATTTTTTTTAATAGTGAGACATCATGAAGTACAGTTGCAGACTTACACATTTTTGTGCTTGGATTTCACTTATACAATGCTCAAATACCCATCCCTCCACCGGTGCCCATTTCCCACCACCACAGATCCCAGTATCCCTTCCACCCCCCTTCCCCCCATTCCACCCTGCCTCTGTGGCAGGGCATTCCTTTTTGTTCTCTCTCTCTTATTGGGTGTTTTGGTTTGCAAAAGAGGCAATGGGTGACAATCATGTTTAGTCTATAGTCTACTTTCCGCATGCTTCTCCCATCCTGGGAGGATCCTCCCAACACCTTCATTTGGTGTTCCCTTCTTTATCTGAGCTCCCTTTTCCCCTAGTATGTGTGGTTGGCCTCCAAGCCATGGAGTAAAATTCCTGGTACTAATCTCGGCCATTCTTGGGTGTTAGTCTCCTATTTTGTTACTTTATGTTCCCCAGATGAATGCAAACTTCCTATGTCTATCCCTTTCTTTCTGAGTCATTTCGCTTAATATGATACTATCCATGTAGTACCACTTGTATGTAAATTTCGTGACTTCATCTTTTCTAACATCTACATAGTACTCCATTGTGTAAATGTACCAAAGTTTCTTTAACCAATCATCTGTTCTTGGGCACTCAGGTTTTTTCCAGATTCTGGCTATTGTAAAGAGTGCTGCAATAAACAGAAAATTGCAGATGTCACTTCGGCTATACTTTTTTGCCTCTCTGGGAAATATTCCCAGGGGTGGTATTGCTGGGTCAAATGGGAGCTCAATTTCTAATTTTTTGAGAATCGTCCATACTGTTTTCCAAAAGGGCTGAACCAGTTGGCATTTCCACCAATAGTGAAGGAGTGTCCCTTTCTCACCACATCTGCGCCAGCACCGGTTGCTTTTGTTCTTGTGGACATGGGCCAGTCTCTGTGGTGTGAAGTGATATCTCATTGTGGTTTTGATCTGTATCTCCCTGATGATTAATTATGTGGAGCATTTTCTCATGTGCCTTTTAGCCATTCGAATTTCTTCTTTGTGAAAGTTTCTATTCACTTCATCTCCCCATTTTTTGATGGGGTTGAATGTTTTCTTTTTGTGGAGTTGAACCAGTACTTTGTATATCCTTGAAATTAACCCCTTATCAGATGTGTAGTTGGCGAATATCCTTTCCCATTCTGTAGACTGTCTTTGTATTTTTTGTCACTGTTTCTTTAGCTTTTTAATATCTCATAATCCAACTACTTTAATATATTTCCGTATTTACTATTGCACTTTATTTTATAAGCATGTGTCTTTAAAGCTCATACCAAAACAACTGTTATCAATGACTCTATTTTGCTTTGGGGAATGGTGAAGGTGACCAGTGTAATATGTGGAAACAGTGCTTACCTTGGAACAGTGCTGGCCTTGGAGTAGGTCTGGTCTCTCCATGAACTACTTCGTTTTGGGTTCAGTAACTTTACAGCATTGAAGTTTCTCTTTCCCCTTTGCATTTGCATAATGAAGGAAAGATCAAAATCCTCATTGATCTGAAGTGTTTATTCTCTCCATCTTTACCTATTCTGTGATATTATAAAGTACTGCCATTTTCTGAAGGACCAGAAGTTTAAAATGAAATACTAGTTTCTAGGAAACTATGTCCCTAACATGTTCTTATAAATTCCCATTCCTCACCCCTTCCCACTTCCCAAGTTTTAAAAGGTCCTATAAGTCGTATAAGTACTTGGAGTAGTTGAAAAAAATTTTTTAGAAATTTTACTTTGAGGCACCATAATTTACAACATACTGTTTATGATAGGGTTTCATGTATACAACATTTCAACATCATATTCTCCACCAGAGTGATCGCTTCCGCTTCTCTTCATTTTCCCAAGGTGCCTTTCTATCTCTTCTTCCTATCCCTTGCTCGACCTACCCCCTACATTTGGTAAACTCCATCTTTGGTAAACTTTGTTTTGTAGGGATGTTCTCAGATTCTGTTTCCTTTGTCCATTGTTATTCTCACTAGTATTGAGGTTGTCTGATTCTCTCTCTCTCTCTCTCTTTTTGATATTTTCTACAGGATTATTTTACAAATGAAAATAGGGAATTGAAAAAAGACGCTCAACAAGATTACCACCTAGAATATGCCATGGAAAACAACACACATACAATAATTGAATTTACCAGAGAACTACATACATGTGACATAAATGATAGGAGTATAACGGTAAGGAATCTTGGTGAATGTGTGTATAAGTTATGCATGTACAGTTGTAAAATACTTTATAAAGTGAAATGAACAAATATCCCTTTGTTGCCCTTTAACAACAAAATCACATAGTTATTTTTGGAATGCTTTCAGTTGTCCTTGAGAGTCAAGAGATAGTCTAAGACTGTAGATTTCATTAAAGGCAATTTTTGTGTGAATCTTAAGTTTGAAAGGCTTTTAGCATTTCTATAATGTTTGAAAACAGACAGTAATAAGATAGGAAGGAATGGTTTCTCATGATTCTAAATATTAGGATATAATTCATCTGATCTACAATTGATTTTTCTTTGTTAATTTCTGAACTCAAGATGACTTGTGGGCAAGTTAAAGCTGACCACTAACATGTTATACAGAATATTTTGGTGGTTCCGGGAATCAAATATGTAACATTTCTTACCAAGCACTATGAAGATTAATATCTTAATGATTTTTAAGATAAAAATTTAGAGAGCATTTCATTCATGGGATACTTTGAAAATTCCTGTGAATTTTTTTCTGTCAATTTTATTTGTGATCAATAAAAATACCTTTTTTTGTTTGGTAAGTTAGAGCTTTTAAAAAAGGGAATTTAAAAATCTGAAGCATTTTTGATTAACAGTCAACATAAAATATAAAAAAAGAAAAAAAACACATGCCAAGGCATGGATCACTTTATGTAACATATAGTGCAATTATATTTTAATTGGAATAATAATTATAGTCATTTGACTTATTAAGAAACACTATAACATTTAAAATAAATACCTTTTGCTTTATTATTTATTTTCAAAGTTCTTATTATAAAGATCTGACAAAAACATCTTTATCTGTGGGAGTTAAAATTTTTCTTTCACACCACCAAATTCTTCCCCTTGCTCCACCATCCTTTTGGCAATCTGTCTTGGTTACTCAATGAAAACCATTTCACCTGACAGTACTTTCCCTAGTTGGGATACCCCAGGCCCTCGGAAATCCCCAGGATTCATAAAATGACTATATATAGATTCTCAGATAATAAACAAATCCAGATCAAAAGTTCCTCTGTATTTGTGTTTTCTGTAGATCCTTACCTGTGACTGGAATAGTGCCTGGGAAAAATTTTACTGCAAAAGTAAAAAGTCTTGACATGCAAAGTAATTTACATTTCAACTCTATTTAATTTCCCTAAAATTAAATAATGAAGCAGATTTTAATTTTCCAATATACCTGTGATTTAACATGAATATTTGCTTGTTAATCACTAGTTGCTATTTGGAGTTTTAATGTGGCAAGGATGTTCTGATATTATGTGCATGACAGGTTAACTACTAAGTCAAATCTCCTTCACTTAATTTTGGAATACAAAGTCTCATCTGTTGAGAGGAAGAAACCCAACAGTGTGAATATTTTATGACTTAGTCAACTTTATGCTGTTAATATTAGAGACTATTTTGAGCATGCCACATTATTATTCTCTTTTCTTCACTTCTGTATCCTATTTTAAATAGAGTTATTTAAACTCAACTCAGTGGTAAGGGAAGTGCTCTCATGAGAGATAATGATGCCCATGTCTGCTCACCAGGAGAGTACTGTCAAAGTGATCTGGGCCTACCACCAGGAGGATGTGGGAGAAGCTGGTCCTAAGTATCATGATTCCAATCGTGGCACCAAGAGTCTTCGGTTACTGAATCCTAAGAAAGCCAACATGTTCTCTACAGCCACATCATACTTTGACCTGATAAATCAGGACGTAAGTCTTTCACTTTGTTATGATTATCGGAGTGAGCTTATACTTGCATGATTATGTTTAATGTCACACTAATGCAAGAGAATGTGACTTTGTGTTCTTCCCCTTTTTATTAAGACAGGTCCCTGTTCCAAACAAAGGTACAACATATTGGTGCCAAATGTTTAAGATTCCTGTGTTCCAGGAAAAGCATCATGTAATAAAGGTATGTGTTTTACAGACTAAACTTCATTTGTATAAATGGAGAAAAATTATTGTTCTTACAACTAAGAAGATAAAAAAGAATTATGTTCGATTATATAAAAACTATTTAGAGAACTAAGAACTGGCTTACCTCACCTTACACTCTATTAATAGTCACTGATTTAGAGAGAAAGCATGGATTATACTAGTATTTTTTTTCTCTAATGTTGCATTTAAGGGGGAAGTCTTGGAATGCATCTGAAAACCTTTAGTTATTTCTTAGATAACTCTTCTATGGTTGGAATTCTAATATAAAACAGTAATTTATGTAATAAATTGTATTCTAGAAGATTATATTCTCTACCAACATTGCTTGAGAATATACTATTCATTGAAAACAATACATGTAAAAGTATCATTACAGTGTTTTTTGGTTTTTTATTTTTTTGTGATGGGGAACCCATGCCCAGTTGTGCTCTAAGGTTACTACTACTACTGGCTATGAACTCAGGAATCACTCCTCATGGGCTTGGAGACTATATGAGATGCTGGGAATCGAACCCAGGTTAGCCCTGGGCGAAGCTAGTGCCCCACTTTGTCTGTACTATCACTATGGCCACCCTCCAGTGTTTAATAGAAATACAAGAAAATTGTAACTATATGCTAAAATACTAGATTTTTAAAATGAATAGTTGTATTTTTAAATTTTATAGTCTGGAAATTACAAAAGTAATACATTAAATAAATTTGCCTATGCTCTGTAATTCCTTCCCATCCTTATTTGCTGCCTCCCCCTACCCCCTGAAATCTCTCAAATTTTTAGCTTTTAAGAAGTGAATAAGCTAATAACTGTAAAAGCTAGCAGATCCTCAGTTCTATGTTAGGAATTCTTTGGCACTTCCAGAAACTGAAGGTATCTCTACTCTCAAAGATTCTGTAGAGATATTGGAAAAGACAAGACAAATGCCCAAGAGACAATAGGATTTGATTAGGTAGTAAGTACAAATTGCTGTAAGCATTTAGCACACAAGACATTGCTAACTTTGTGTCAGAGTATGTAATGAAGCATTGTGGCTATGAGAAAGAATAAATGTCTAGATTCTAGAACTAATAGGGAAATATATGGGTTCAACTGCGGAGTGACTAGCTGTATGATCTCAGGTAAATTTGTCTGGGAAATCTGTAAGCTCTGATTTTCTCAATTGTGAAAGGTGATGATTAACAACATTTCCCCTACTAGCTTGTGTGTATTTTCTCAGAGATCATAACAAGAAGCATATTCTGTATAGTGACTTAAATTTGTTAAATTCTCATATGCTTATTCGGTGACACAGGTAAGCCTTATGTTTCCAGAATGATTCTTTACTATGTAGGCAAGAGAGGCAGGTTTATTTAATGTTTATTTAATTAATAGGTGATCTTAAATATTCATGGAATAATTTTTGCAGCAAGCATTATCAATAATCGGATAGTAAATGAGTCATTTGCTCTCTACATGTTATTTAGCATTTTTGCATATGAGAAGAAAATGCAAAATCTAGTCTTTCCTATAACTTAATGCAATTCCTAAGTCATTCTTTTAATCAAGGAAATCTCAGAAAATAGATTTTTGTATTTATATATACAGTGTTCCATATGCACATAAGTTTCAGTAAATTAAATTGAAATCTACATTAAGAAACAAATATAAAGCTATAAACTCAGGAACATGAAATAAATGTTTCACAAAATAACTCCTTGATTGACTTTTTAGCTAATGACAACTGATTGGATGTAAAGTTCTTGAGCATTATATTAATGCATTTTTATTCTTTTCATAGTGCTAACACTTAAGCTAAGCAGAACAAAAACTATTACCTATACTTAAAGGGAGGCAGCATGTGTTTTGACTCTGTCAGACATTTACTTTGCAAATCCAAGAATTTTTAGCTGACTTTGCTATCACAGTCATATCATAGGAATTTTCAGATATGTGGACATCCACGAGTATGCTTAGATTTAGCCTCATTGGGGATCGCATTGCTCATTTCACTGGCTATTACAAAACATCTCAGTGACTTGAAAGACTGGAGATTCATTTTCTGTGTTTGGAGGTCTAGTAAAAGATGAGTGTTCTGTATACTCTGAGCAAGAAGAGATTTCAGGTGAGGCAGCATGTCAAAGAAGTAATCATACAATTTTTTAAAATTTAAGAACAGTGGGTTCATAGCAATAATCTTTTAATAAATACAGAATATCTCTTATAGAACAGAGTCCTGAGCTGTTTATTCAACTCTTGAAATAGCTTTCCAATAAATCATCCTTTACTCATAAAGAACTTAAATAGGATAACATAAAAATAGTCTTCTCTGGGGAAAATTTAGACATTGATAATATTGCTCAACATTTAATAGTAAAGTAAAGGCCCTCCTGTTGATCATCGATTTGCTCGAGCGGGCCCAGTAATGTCTCCATTGGAGACTTTGTTGTTACTGTGTCTGGCATATCGAATAGTCTCGGTAGCTTGCCGGGCTCTCCGAACATTTAATAGTTCTAATAAATGTAAAACTGATGATAAAAACATCAGTAATTCAGTCAATATATTTTATTGGGATGACTAAAATTTAAAATATTAATTATAATCTAATTGTAATTTTAATTACTCCATTACTAAGGCTAATATTTAAAATTATGAAACAATAAGGCAGTAATTTCTAAAATTATAAATTAGGGGAGTTAAATAATTTCCTCTATGAGAAAGATAAGATTTTGATAAAAATTATTAATAACTGTTTCCAGTTTACTTGATTCCAGTTTATTGATAGCATTTTTGTTCTTGAAAAAATTTTCTAATTCCATGACAAGATATTTGTATTGTTAGATGATAATACATTGCACTTGCAGTTGAATGAGAAGGATGTAGAAAGTAAAATATTTGGTAATTTATATTAAAATTTTACTTCTTAAAGTTTTCTTATTTAAAAATAACCTTACTGAAACTTTACCAAATATACAACTTTACTCTACATTTAAATTTTAATTTGTACTCTTTAGTCAATTGAAATACCATTTTCATAGTACATATGTCATATCATTATTGTCAATATTATTGATTGGATAGACTGTTAGAAAGTGGGTTATCACACTTTTTGTTTTTTTTGTTTTGTGGTACTAAGGAAATTTTTCTTACATCTAAACTAAACTAGTTCATCCATTTACAAGTTACATTTCTACTATATTTGAAAGAGTTGATGGTTTTTATACTACAGAGAAAAATTTTAAACATCCAGGCCCAAAACTCCTTTTTTTCACCATAAATAATTAATGTCCCAACACAAAAGTAGTAAACTGGATATAGTAATTGGATTCTCTGTTTCTATGGGAAAGGTTTTAATTCTTTTCTCAAATTGCCAACCCTTTAGTTATATAGCCTTAGAAAAATCATCAATTACCCCAGCTCCATTTTGTCTTTTGGATAAAATGAAACCTTCCTTATGGAATTATCTAAATTTAAAAAAGATTAGCACTTGACACAGTATCTGACACATAAAATTAAGAATAGCAACCGTTCTTATCAGACTTTTTGTATTCAGCATTGTTCACTAAATGACTTCACATTGAAAGCTAGAAAAGATTAAAGTATCTTTCTAAAAGGTTAACCGTTCTGAGTTTTAAAGGAGGATAACTTTTACTAATTTTATTACTGCAGACAAGCAATTTATAGGCATGTGTCTCTTACTGATCTGATACATACTGAAAAATGTATTATTAGACAATTTTATTGAGAACAGTCACAAAGTATATTTATACAAACCTCAATGGTGTAGCTCACCACACAGACTATAGTAATCACCAATATGTAAGCGTTGAGTGAAAGACCCATTTTGAAGAAGGCTGATTTAGATGCTCAGTGTTACAAAGTTTTTTCCTACTTTCTCTTAGGTTTTACCTACTTCACAGAAACTTTAGGGATTGTCTAGCTACATGGGTGATCTTTATTACTACTTCAGAGCCCAAAGTGATGAATTCACTTTGAAAGCCTGTTTTTTGTGAATGTGCTTATTGCTGACTTTGTTGCTAGTTAGCTTTCTGATATTAAAGTAAAGAACTTGCTGATCCTCGGTATTTTTGTCTGTAAGAGAAAGGTATTAGGTAGCTGCTTCAACTGACATTTTACTTCTAATAAAATTAATATTTGTGAATTTCTAAAAAACTAAAAGTAAAATCTACTGAGTTTGGATGCTCTGATGTTCTTGATATGAAGACTTCTGACTGTTTCCTAATATGCTAAGATGGAAGTGGTGGGACCCCACTGTCTTACTTGAAGTTAAAAGCATCCCCCAACCTTCACCTTGATCTTGGCCTCTTAAGCACTTACGCTTAGGCTTAGGTTTCTATTTAAACAATAGTACTTTTCTAAGTTGGTAGTATTTACCTTGGGGGAATAATAGTACTTATCTAAGTAGTATTTGTCTTTGTCAAATGAGATAATATCTACTTTTTTTCTTATAGTTACCAACTGTATTCCCAATTTACAGTAGTTTTCAGGTACCTCTTAATCTTGGGAAAATATGGATAAAATTTGTTAAAATAGTGAAATAGCTTAGAAGAAATCACGATCACAATCATCGTGTTGTTCGTCGATTTCCTCGAGCAGGCACCAGTAGCGTCTCCTTCCTAGCCCTGAGATTTTAAAAGAGCCATTTAAATGCTCTTTCAGGATTAGGAGAATGAGACCCATGATCATTTCTGATATTTGGCATATTGAATACGACACGGGAAGTTTGCCAGACTCTGCCGTGCGGGCAGGATATTTTTGGTAGCCTGCCAGGTTCTCCAAAGGAAAATAAGATAATAAGATATCGCTCGGCCGCAGCTGGTGGGTGTGACGCCTACCTACTGGAAGATGGAGGGTCTAGGTGGAGAAGGCCCAGTCCCAATTCGATTAGGCTTCGAGACCTCAGCCCCGGGGCCCGCATGCCTGGGTTCCTCTACCAGTTCTTTCATGCATGAGACCTGTCCGGACGTGTGGAGAGTGGTCCC